TAAAAAGCATTAAAATTGGTAGAAGGCATGTACGATAACCACGCAATGCATGGACAAAAACGCTTATAAAAATTCCAAATGGTTATGGAATAAAATAACATTTAAAAATTGTAAACATAATTGGTAACCTGGCAAGAAATGCTTTTCCGTGTTTCACAGAACAATGGCGATGGGCCTGAAACCCCGGTCTGGCTCATTCGAACGACCGCAAAGAGAAGTATAATTGGAAATCATAAATTGGAACTGACGCCAGCTGTGGAGGGCTAAAACGATGGATGGCCGCTTTGCCCCGGGTGGCCGCTTTGCCCCACTCTCCCCTACCTACAAGGAAAGGTGCCAGCTTTGCTCAACTCATGCCAGTACAAGTCACGCGCTTACGCTTTCCTTGAACAAACGCCGGATGTCGGCCAATCCACCCGAAAACCTGGCATGAAGTCATCGCATAGGTACGGCTGTTTCCAGGCACGTTGGGAGTTCTCCAACCCGTAGAATATGTGGACCAGCTTACACGCATCGTTTAATCCTGTTAATAAATTTCAAGGTCGTGCAGATAGCTTTGATGTTTTGTTTATTTCTTCATTGCTTAGATACGCGTGACCTCGGACTCTGTCTCTTACCGTCTGCCCGGTGCCCAGTGTTGGGGCATCTTGAAGTTTCTTACGACAGGTTTAAAGCAGTGCAGTTTATCTTCTCAATTTTGAATATTTGTGTTAAATAACTGGCACCAATGCCATTGTTTAGTTTGTTGTATGTCAGCATTAATAGTCATGGTAATTTTATGCTCGTTTAATGCGAATATACCATTCAGAATCTGCCTTTTGACACCAGCATCTGTAGCTTCCACGTAGGTAAAGCCTAAAAACCTTTTCCAGAAACCTAGCAACTATATTCAATTTGCTTGGCTTTCTCTAAGGAATAGCGATGCCGCTGGGGAGAATGTCCAGCGATCAATGGGAGACGTATCACAATATTTATCGGGGCGGCTCAGTAATGAGCCGGGATATGTCCGACGTCGCACGTCAGTGGCCGCCGGCTATTCAGCGGCTGACGGCGTGACGTCACTAGTGGTGCTGCTCCCGGGCAGAGCGCCTCAGACAGTGGCAGATCTCTGTCCGCGGGCAGAGCGCGCCTCAGACGGTAGCTAGACACCGCCTCCGGCGCCGCCCCAGGCCTCGGCGACCGATGTGCGCGGCCGGAATCTGGTCCGACAACATGATACGAATACACAACACTATCAGAATGTTATATACCTAAGGGCCCTTTTTAGGGTCTAGTAGATAATAACTGTGAAGTATGTGCCGAAAAATTGCGAGCAGACGTGACACGTTCGGTCTGCCTTTCACACCGTGCAACATGTTGCACAATTTATCCCCATTTTCATTCAGACTTACGGAATTCCTTGGGCATCGCAGTACACCTGTTTCCGACTTGACCAGATTGCGCGTTAAATCATTTCGCCATGCTATATGTAGGCCTCGAGTCAGGTGAAAAGGCAGCGCTCACAATGTGGACTGTCAATCGACTGTTTGCGATTTTGGCTATCTGACACACCCGCTCTCGGTGCCCAGATAATAGTAGATGTCCCGCAGAGCCTCGCCCACAGATACCGAATCGAAACACAAACAACTGGCTTGTCTTGTCACCTAAGACAACACTCATGTTTCATATCAACCCCCAATCGGATATTGCTCAACCAGACCCTCGGATAGAGACGGGTGGGATGGGTTTGTCTTTACAGGACCGTTATGCCTCCACCAGTCCTCGAGCTTTATCCACGAGCTTCCGGGGTAGTGTTTGTTTCACCAATGATAGCAGCACGCTGCTACCACACGTGTCAAATTGGGTTTCCATGGAGACGTCAGCAAGCCCATTGCTCCAACACTACCACAAGTATGACGTCAGCTCGCGAAATGGAAAAGCAGCGTGGTAGCAGCGTCCAGTGAAACACCGCCCTGGTCATACCGTGGAACTAGCTAGCTATGACCCATTCACATGGCGGCCTGGCGGAGCGCACTGGTGCCTCTGATATTGGCCTTGGGTCGTACTCGGAATAGCACTCTTATGCCTGATAGCCCGGAGGCTGGGCGGAGGCCGAGATGTCTGCCGGTCGGCAGCTGTGGCCCACGCGTGGGAGATGGTCGGAGAGGTCTGGTGGGAAGAAATGATGATTCAGAGAGAAATGTGAGGAAGAGAAGGAAGCGGAAAGGACAAGACAGGAAAGGATGGAATGTTGTGATATGTAGGGGTCAGGAGAATCAGGAACAGGGGTGTGGGGATCGAGGGAAATGGTACTAGTACTGACTGTGATAGAGATCAATGATCATTTGGTAGGAAATGGTCAGTGAAAGCAGTGAGGACAACCATGTAGTAGGCAATAGGACAGATCCAACTAGGATTGGGAGGTCGGAAATGGGTGACACCTCCATTGCGTAGACTTTTGCAGAGTACCATTGGCCCAAATTTTATACAGTGAGTGGGTGAACGCATCGTTATAACAGCTCTGGGACATCCCTAGGGAGCGATAGGGCTCCATTTCCACACGCGTCTACAGTCTGACAATGGTCGGGGCTGTCTCACAATCAGGCTGCCCAGTCCCCACCATTTGACTGCTTCATGCCCATGCCCCCGGGCGAGCTGTCTCCTCTGGGGTCTCGGTTTGACCCGATGTAGGTCAGTAATTCGATGACACCCACCACCCCAGCCGCGGTCACAGGTGCCTGTGGGACCCGTCCCTGAGCAGCGTCTTCCCAGCGGCGTCGGCGTGGTACAGAGGCAGTCGGCGCCTCCCGTGGGACGTGATCCCGATCATCGGCCGACCCCGTGACCCGAGGTCACCACTGAAGGCGACAGATGCCACCTGGGGACGAACACGTGCTGATGTGGCGCAAAATACACACCCGTAATTAGCAGCGTCTTGGCCGTAAGGCCCAGACGCCGTAAATCGACTGATCCCATTGGCTTCATTCGAGGTGGATAGCGGATTTCACGCCCAAATACATAGAGTTTACTCCGTGATAACCTTTGTTTCGAATATAATCCATGACGTTTATGATTATTTCGACGACAAACACCAGTTAACCAGGGCAGGAAATAAGGCAACTTATGGTACGCGGCTGTGTTGAAGGTGTGCGGGCATGCTCATTGCTCATACAGCGTACGCCAGGGCAATGTTGGTATCGATGCATCCCATCTCATCTCGGGTCACAGGAGAGACGGAATCGTTCAATACCTGGGGAGGATAGCGAGCAGCTGTTCTCCAGCCGCTCCGTTGGCCTCACTGCTGATCCGGCACCAGCCGTGTGACGGACAGACGCAGACGACGGCACGGGCGCAAAAACGGGCAGAGGCTACAAAAACCAGGTGTTAGTGTCATTCGATGGATCCAAGTGGATAATGATGCATCGGCGTATTTGTATTCAAACACGTATATTGAGGCAGATAAACAATAAAATGTCCTGTTTCCATATATCCTGTTACGGAATCTGTTTGTCCGAGTTTTTTATTTGTGATTTCATCAAACGTGAATCTCGCTGAAGCGCAACATAGTGCAATATTGCATTCAACGTCTGACCATTTATAACGTGAATGCAATATCACGGTAGCTGTGAAAGGAAAAGGCAGCTGGTAGTGACATGTAGACTACCAGTTTTCATTTCCTGTAAGCCCTGAAATAGCGTGGCGTTTGTTTGTAAGGGAGGGGAAATCCACCGGCCAAAAACAAACGGTGACCGCTGCTTTGGTCTCGGTGTCGGTCAGTGGTCTCGGCGTCGGTCATTGGTCATTGTGATGACCGACGGTGGAAGGCGCAGGATCTGCGATGTGCATAATGGGTACCTACCATTGTGAATGAGGCTACAATGGCTTCTCGATAGTGTAATGGATAAACCCTTTATGAGAGGCGTATGGTGGAAATGGGTCACTTTTACTGTGCCAGTGTTTTAATAGGAGTTTGATGTCCAGTTTGGCATAAGATTTATAAAATGTTTTTGATTCAAAATCCTCAGCAGTAATTTCATCGATCGTCATTGAACTGTCCTTATGGTGTCTAGACATCCATTGGTCATAATTATCAAATAAGTGAAGACGATTTCATTCTAACTCCATTAAGAACGGAATTACGTCTGGTCGGCGGTTAATCGCGGCGGTCTCTGCTCGGCCTGTGCCACAGCTTTGTCGAACCACACTCGTCTGAGGCCCGCCAGCTGGACCTCAATCGGCGGGCCTTTGCGGACTCCACTCGGGCCGCGCCGCTGCCTAACGACATTGGCCCGCGGGCGACACGCACTTTGGAGACGCGCCGACACTGTGCGTGCGGCGGGTGACGATCTGTGCGAAGTGTTCCCATTTCGCCGGATGGCTGTAGCGCTGGGGTAATACTCGTCGGGTTTGTCCCAAATAGCCCTGTGCTCGTGATGGTAATGACGAAATGTATTGCCCGCGGCAGAGTGGGAGAGGTCAGCACGCCGGGTACATGCGCTTTGTGTGTGATGTTCGTGTAGAGGATAATCATAATCCAACGAGCACGCACGCGAGCAATAACCCTGAAATGTGATGGCACCCGGTGCAATGATGCAATAAAACTGACCCAGGCCAACAACTGGTCATAACGTACGATGTTGGCGGTGCGATTTCAAAATAAGTTGTTTTCAAGCCCAACCAATTCAGATAATGAGCTCACGCTTGCCATTGAGGCATGCCATCATCCACTCATACTTTGTAGCGTTTCTGTCTTTGTTTCTCCCTTACCTATCCGTAGGCTTGTAACAAATGTGGCCGGCCGTTTTCCGCACAGTCTTTGACGGGGCATTTATTTAATTCTTGCGAAACTCTTGTTTTTGTGTTTTTGGCGAATACCGTTTTGTTTTGTTTTGAAAATACGAACGTTTTTTTAGATACAATAAACTCCGTCCTTTGATATGAATAGTAAGAACTATTTCCCTCCCAAGAGTCACCTCACGACTCACGTCCACCTCGCTCACCTCCCGCTCGTCTTCCCACAGACCAGCTCGGCAAGGAGGTGACGTACGTCATCAAGTTCAACGACTTGGACGTCTACACCCGCGGCAAGGAGCAGTCGTCGGACGGCGCGGCGGCCGAGGCCAGTGGACCGGTCGCCGAGAAAACGTGTCCCCGCTGCGGCCATCCAGAGATGAGCTACGCCACGGCGCAGCTGCGCTCGGCCGACGAGGGCCAAACCATCTTCTACACGTGCCCCAAATGCGCGTGAGTATGGCGTGGGTGCTCTGCTGAGCTGGGGAGGGGTGCTGGGTGGGGTGGACAGGGGGTGGACGACTGTGGACAGGAGTCAGACGCGTTGTGGAACGTGGACAGTGGTTGGTGGACACACATTGTTGTGCGTGAGCAATGGATTGGTGCAACAGGTGGTTGACGGTTGACATTGATCTTTGCTTGGTGAACGTAATCGGTCGCCTACTGCTTCAGTTCAACTCGCTCCAGTTTTCCTTCCAGTGGGCGCTCTCTGTCGCAAAAGAGCGAAGATTATGTTTTTCAGAGACATACTTTTCTGTCCCATTAGGTAATCTTGCGTCATTAAGGGATTAGGGAGACGCTAGGCACATAAGTCATTTCGATCTCAGTAATTCCAGCCGTAATCCACCATCCATCATCGCGTTGCTCGTTTTGTCCCGACAAAGTGCTCCTTTTGTCTGTCAATGAACGGCTTTCGCGAATCACTTGAGCTCAAACTATCAGGCGTAACTCGAAAGCAACTTTTTATGGAGAAACATTAGGTACTCCAAATCTTTGCATAATCCTAGTCGCGAAAACTTTGGAAAGGTACCGATAATGATCGCTGACATAATTCGAATCGCCATTCTCGCCGGATACTCGGGAAAGAGGTTACATATCATTAGGCCAGGGTACGTTACCAGGCTGTGCTGCAATCGGCTGAATTTTGCTAGCCTTACACCAGAAACCAAGAATCTGTCCAATTCGGCTCGAAGTGCGAGGCTTACGTCCCTGTTCGTAGTCAGTTTTCATGGTCTCACTCATCTGCATGCTGCTTGGTAAAGAGGAGGAGCATGAATCGGGCGCAGAATGAGCCTTTCACCGAGAGTATGATATCTTTTTCTGCCGATTGAACCTTCAAAAAGCGGCCGGATGGCAGAGGGTTGGCGAGCGGGCGCGGCTGGGAGAAAGTGGTCCGACGTGCCGACGACGTCTCCGCTGCTGTCTGGGAGGCTATGTGATAAGGCCGACAATTAGCCCGGCTTTCCGAGGTGATATATTGTCTGAGGGCAGACACTGCTCCTGAAATATCACAGCAGTTGAGAGCATTCAAGGGACACAAAATGCGGCTAGATGATAGAATGCTTTCGAAGGATGTGCTATATATATACTGGTTAGCAGCGCCGTTGTTGTATTTTCGTTGACTTCATATGAGAGGAAATTATGTGAAGCTTATCCACATATAATTTGCATATGGTGAGACCTGCTTGGGGCCATTCATTTGCGATGAGGTGATAAGCCGTTCAACGCAAATGTGGTCATCCGGATCGCAAGTGCACCAGAACCGGTGTCATTGTATCACATAGTTAGACATCGATACTGAAGATGAAAGCGTTTTTGATTTGTACCTATCGAACTGTGCTCCGTTCTGAAACCGCTGAGCCGTTTTCAGAACGGTCTCGGTCTCGTTCGGTCTCTCGTTAACAGTCTCGTTTATGGTCAGACTGGTCACTGCTGCGGACTCCGTACAAATGGGCGAGATCCGCTGAGTGCTCTGCGTATTTACTTTGTTTTAGCAGGTGTTCTTTTGGGACTTTTGAATGGTTGGGGTCTGCCTTGTGCGTTTCTCATTTTGCCAGCTGCAGTGACTCGGCGGTAGTGCTGCTGAAGAAACGTTGCTGAACTTAAAAACAAAAGACTGGCTACTGATCAGTTGCACACCGAATGAATTTTTGGGTTTGTCTTTGTTTCTTTGGCCATATTGGGCAAATCTCCGGTTCGCGTCACTTCCGTGTTATTGGTAGCCTGAAGCCATCTCGTCAGATCAGACCGTGCTATTGAATATGGTAGAGCTGCGGCACGGCTCTGGACCGCCGGAGGTACCGAGAGATAATGGGAGTGGAAACTGGAAACTTGCGATATCCTTTGATCTAAACTTTTGACACAATTATGCTCTTTATGGGCTCTGAAGTCCTATTGCCCTTTTTCTAATATAATGCCGTATTAGCTAGCTGTACACCTTTGCAATCTACACATTCACATGAAATAGATCACGTAGCTGCACGTCCGGTTGCTGAGCGATCGATGTCACATATCAGTAGCACGCGCTGTTCCACTGCTAAAGAAGCGCGCTCCGCCCCACCTGCCAGTCAGCCGGCAGGTACCGGTTCGTCTCGGTGTTCTCGCCTCATCAGTCCGTCCCCGGCACCATCAGCCGTCGTGCTGTATTGTTTTCCGGCCGATATTAATCTGCCCCGGCCGTCTGCGCCTTTTACGTCACTCGCCTTGCGACGCCTCCGCGGATGTCAAGCTTTCTCCGTGTCAATCCGCCACCGCAATATGTTACCCTCGGCCGACCGGGGGCGGCAGAACGGATGAGTGAGGGGAGGGGGGGGGGAGATTGCCGTCGGGTCGGGATTGAGTCGGTCGCTGCGCTGGTCAGTCCTGCACTTTGCGTAGTGGTGTTCCGAGTAGGAGATGAAGGTTGCGCAGATGAGACGTGCAGAGCGCAGCTGAGGCGTGATGTGGCGCAGTTGGATGAGGATATCTTTCTCGTTAATCCGTTACATAGATAGAGCCGATCGTCATAGAATGAAAGACGAGCTGAGACTTCGTGTTAGGTTTTGATAAGGTGTTGGCCAATGCGTGATGAAGTTCTTTAGTGCTCCAGCTGAGGTTCATTTGCGTAGTTTGTTCATTTCGCACTTGTGTTATGAAGAGGCTTGACGGCGCAGTAGCACAAAAGTATTTTATACACCTGCCAGTATTTTATACACCTGGTACATGCCGAGATGTGTTTAGGGGAATACCAAGACTCCAGTTCTGCACTCCAGTCACGTGTTCAGATATGAAATGTGTTCGAACCGCCAGCTGCTACTCGTTGCACCAGCGTACCACTGGTGTTTCATGATCCCTGGCATGACGCTGTTCTGATGCGCATTACCTTGACGAGCGCCTCTGACGCCGTGTGGGTCTCATCACCGGAGCTGGTGCCTCCTGTGCCCAATGTCCGATGCGGGCGTTGGAAGCGAGGCTGTGTGGGCGTCGCGACGCGCTCCCAGTTCGTCAGTGGGCGGTGGTGATACGGGGACCGACGGCGTACCGTGTCCTCACGGCGGTGACGAACTGCTCGTACTGCGCCGCACGGGCGCGGTGTCACTGTGGGGAGAAGGAAATGCCCCTCCGTGCGTGATTTGTATTGCAATCCCGACTCCTAAGATCCTCTGATATATGGTGTGCGAACACCTAGCCCACTCGATCTGAAACTTTGATGTCAGTTTAGCTCCTGGCGTGCATAAAACTCCATTTTACCAAGCTAATTTTAAAGCGCTATAATGTATATTTTGATGTTTGTTACAAGTTTTTTTTATTTATCCGTTCAACTTTGAATAACATTTCTGCTGTTCGCACTTAATTTTGGTGGCATTTAAACGAATATCGTTTTCTAATTCCACGACATTATCATTAATTTTCCGAGTCGCAATTTCCTCAAAACATCCTGCTCAAAGTCACTGCCTGGCATTTGTTTTGCAGGGGATCTCTGCAATACAAAACTTCTGCAGCAGACTTATGCACAATGTCTCGCCGTGCCAGTGGTAATTAGGGAATGGCTAGAGTTAGTCGAGATCCGTCTGGCAGCACTGAAAATCAGTGGATAATGTCACGACTACACCATGTTTGCATGAATCTGTATACTATATAGCAACATTGAGAACTGCCTTGGTTAATTCCTTTTGACATGCGTAGTATTGCTTGTCGTAAAATGCACGGTGCGCATGCTTTAGATGCCCATTTGACGTGGATCTCTTGTCAAATGCCGGATAAGCTGAAGTGAGTCGATGGATTTTCGGTGACTCCGGCTGCGACTCCGGCTCCAGTTTCCAAAATCGACTTCTACTCCGACTCGGTCAGGAATGTGGACTGTGACCGACTCCGACTCCGACTCCGACTCCGACTCCGACTCCGACGCCGACCCCGACGCCGACTCCGCAGTCCTGATTGTGGCACATGTGCAAACTCTTTAGACCGAGTATGAACTTATGACTAAATACACTAAATATACCTACCGTTTTCATACGAGATGTTATAATCACTCACAGAATATCGATAAGCTCCTGTGAAGCCAATATTTTGTAAAACAATACACCCGACAGACTGGAGCGAAACCTTAAATTCCTCATCTCGGGTTATTTCGTTTTTTGTTGACCTCAAGGCCTCCCCATCCAATCGCGCCCTGCCAATCTAGGTTGTGCCCGATCAAAAGGCTGATCGAGTATAGCGCCGCTGTGGGCTGGACCATCGATAGCGGTCCTTTCAGAGCGCCTCACTTGCAGGCAGTATGGTTCCGTCGGACTATTTTCAGTCAGCTCAGTTCCCATAAATTGAGGTGTTCCGGAATAATTTTCCAGGAGTCCTGATTAGCTCAAATAATCTATGTTTGCATTTATTTGATGCTAAGGTCTTTCCTGATTGAGTTTGGAGCTTTATTGACCGTCGGTGATTGCAATCTGATATTCAAACGAGTCTCGGGTGGCAAATACCCTCTGGTAGTAAATGATATTTCAAGTTGATATGTTCCGGTATTTAATGCAGCTGTCGCACCTGTAAACGGAGTCTGTGAGCTACGTAATCCATTGCGTTTCTTGGAATGATTGTTGGATCAGTCAAGCCGAAAGAGCGGATCGTCGGGGAGGGGGAGAGGGAAGATGAGCGCTAAACACGGTCGTCGTGCCAATCGGTCAGGGTAACCGCCGTCAGTGGCTACTGGCTCTACCTTTATCACCCCCCCCCCCCTCTTACTGTGAGTGATGTCCACTCCAACGCCGCCGGGCACATGGTGCTCGATCAAACGTCAGCGCCGACCCTCCTCTGTTCCACTCTCGTTCTGATCCCCGCGACCACCTCTGGTGAGCGACCTCAATCCTCTTGCACCAAAATACCTCAAACTCTACTTAGATAGATTGTGGTTTCCTTAGCTTCGCTCTCACCGGACACCTCCCACTCGAAAAACTACCCGTGATAATTTACTTAGAAACTCTAACGAGCAGCTATAGGTTTGGGTTAGGAGCTGATGCAAAAGAAACTACCAACGTTGTTGTGTATCGAGTGGTCAGTACTTTCCTTATTCTGCTACTTCCGATTGTACTTCATGCTTTTGGCTGACTCCAAAGACTCCTTTTTACTCAGAACGTTTCTTCCATACTACACAAGGCCAAGAACAACAACTTCCAAGGTTCTCCATATGAGGCACACTCTCTAAATCCAGGCAGAGTAAATGACGTCACAAGAGACATCATCCTAATACACAACACTCCTCCCCACTAAACAACACTTTACAGGTTCATGCGCACTACAGGTTTACGCTCACGCTGGGGATGAGTGCGCAGTTCTGGGGTCTTCCGGATGACGTCCGCTGGACGTGCCCTAGGACCTACAGTCTCTTGTTCAGTGTTCGCCTTCGCTGCTGACGCTGCTTCAGGTGACTGTGTTGCAGCGATCCCATCTTCCTCCAGCACGAGCCCGCGGTTACCGGTTGAAGTTACCGACTGTTCCACAGCGCTATGCAGTGGCGGTCCATGTTCCCGCTGCACCGCTGGTGCGTCTTGCGCTGGGAGATTGCAGTGCTCAGACGGATTTATCTCCTGCCGCAGATTAGTCACTGGAGGTCGGACACCTGGCAGACAGACAATCTGATCGATGTGTCGACGCCACACTTCGTCTTGCACTTGGACTAGGTAGTGTTTACTGCCTTGTCGTTCGATGACGTCTCCCTCCCTCCATTTCTGTGCACCTCGGTAGTCGCGGACCAGGACTGATTCGCCGACTTCGAGCGTTCTGTCGGTTCCCTTCTGTGATCTTTCTACTTGTTCCTGTTGCTTCTCTCGAACTTCACTTGCGAGGTTGGGCTTCAGGAGGTCCAGGCGGTTTCGTAGCGGCCTGCCCAGCATCAACTCCGCCGGTGTACGTCCTGTTAACGCTTGTGGCGTACTGCGGTACGCCATCAGGAAGTTCGGGATGTTGACCTTCTTGCCTTTTGAGGCCTTCAGCAGGTTCTTCAGACAACCCACTGCTCTTTCCGCAGCTCCGTTAGTGGACGGCTTGTACGGCGCTGTGACACTGTGCTTGATTCCGTTCCTCTCCAAGAACCCTTCGAAGTCCTTGCTGACGAGTTGTGGACCATTATCCGTGACCAGTTGGTGAGGCAGTCCCCACCTAGCGAACAGGTTCAGCAGGTATTCAATCGTCTTCTCTGTTGTGATGGTCTTCATTGGAGCGATTTCCATCCACTTCGAGTAGCTGTCGATGACAACCACGTAGAATCTACCTTCCACAGGACCAGCGAAATCTAGATGTATCCGTTGCCAGGGTCCCTTGGCATACTCCCATGGGTGGAGATCTCCGCTTGGTGGCTCTGCTCGCTTTTGCCAGCAGCCTTCGCAGTTCCGGACTTCCGCCTCGATCTGCTTGTCCATGTTCGGCCACCAGACGTGCATCCTTCCGAGCTGCTTCATCTTCACCATTCCTTGATGTCCGGCATGCAGCTCGCTCAGCACTCTGGATCTCAGGTTCGGCGGAACCACGACGCGACATCCCCACATTAGACATCCGCGCTCCACGGTCAGTTCGGTTTGCCTCATCTTGAATGGTTGTAGCTCTTCATTTACGGCTTCTGACCAGCCGTTGTGCACGAAGTGCATCACCTTCGCCAGGATTGGGCTTCTGGCCGTCTCTCGTTGAATCGCTGCGGCCGTCACCGGACTTAGCGACTCCAGTTGTCCGATCAGACAGACAGTGCACTCGTCTTCTGGTGCTTCTGACTTCAGCACTGAGCCTTCTCTCGGTAGACGTGAGAGCCAATCAGCTACTGGAATCTGTTCCGACTTCCTGACTTCCACAGAGAAATCGTACTCCGCCAACTTCATCGCCCATCTCTGGATCCGTGAGGCAGCCAACGTCGGCAGCGGCGCCTTAGGTCCAAAGACGTGAGCTAGCGGCTTGTTGTCCGTTACGAGCTTGAAATGGCGCCCGTACAGGAACTGCTTCAGTCGCTGAAATGCCCAGACTACACAGAGTCCTTCCCTTTCTATCTGAGAGTATTTCCGCTCGTGTTCACTCAGCGATCTTGACACGTACATGATCGGCCGCTCATCCTTCCCTTGAACGAGTACGGCGCCTAGTCCTTCTGGACTAGCGTCCGTGATCACCGTCACCTGCTCCGTCACGTCGAAATGACGCAGCACTTCCGTTGATGACAGCTGTCTCTTGATGCTGTTGAAGCTGGCTTCACACTCTGCAGTCCACTTCCATTCGCTGTCTTTCTTCAGGAGTTCATTCAACGGCCTTGCTGTCTTCGAGAGGTTCTTCAGGAAGCGGTTGTAGAACGTGACAACACCGAGAAACTCACGAACTTCTTTCTGGTTGGTGGGTGCTCTTGCGTTCAGCACGGCTTTCACACGTTCTGGATCTGTTCTGATGCCCTCGGCTCCTAGCCTGAGCCCTAGGTACCGGACTTCCTTTGTCAGAAACTGACATTTCTCCTTTTTCAGACGCAGACCGTGTGACTTCATGATCTGCATCACTTCGTCCAGTCGCTTCAGTGCTTCTTCTTCAGTTCTTCCTGTGATGAGCATATCATCCAACAGACACTTCACTCCAGGCACATTCTTGAGGATTCTGTCCATTTCCCTCTGGAAGAGCATTGGACTTGACTTCACCCCGTATGGTAGTCGCAGCATACGGTGCATCCCCCATGGTGTGTTGAGAACACAGTACTCCTGGCTTTCTGTGCTGAGGGGCATCTGCAGATACGCTTGGGAGAGGTCAATTACTGAGATGTAATTGATTACTGCTAATCCAATGGGGTATCCCCGCGTGAGTTCGAATCTCATCCTTGTCGCCATTTTGTTGTGTATCGAGTGGTCAGTACTTTCCTTATTCTGCTACTTCCGATTGTACTTCATGCTTTTGGCTGACTCCAAAGACTCCTTTTTACTCAGAACGTTTCTTCCATACTACACAAGGCCAAGAACAACAACTTCCAAGGTTCTCCATATGAGGCACACTCTCTAAATCCAGGCAGAGTAAATGACGTCACAAGAGACATCATCCTAATACACAACAAACGTAATGTATGCTAGTTGTGTAAGCACGAACATAGTTTTTTTCGCTTTAACTAGCTCCGTATTTTAGTGTGAGAGACCTCAGGTCGCGTATCCTCCGGCCGGCGCGCGAGGGCTGCCTGTTCGCGGGTCATTTTGGCGACGACTGTCGGTTGTGGAGTGGGACGGGCACTAATGGGCCGGGTGAGACGTGACCCGCCCCCGGCACGCGGCGCTGTGATGAAACGTCAACCGTTCCGCGTCAGCGCGACTGGTGTGCGGTGTTTATTTTCGACACCCCTGACCGAGCGGCCGGTTACCAACCAGCTCAGCCGCCAGCCGCACCGCTCGCCAGCGGTGCAGGCTGACGTTCGTGGGTGAGAAAAACGTCGGGAGTTCGGCATTCGTGGGTTTGCTACTTCGTCCCATAGCTAGACAGTCAGTGTGCGCTGCATCTATTTTTTTCAGAAATGAAGGATAGGCTTTTGGCTTTTTGGATTCGGCTTTTTGTTTGTAAGATAATTGATCATGAAGCATGATACCAAAATATCATGAACGGTTGTCCTGCTTCAGTGGGATCTAATGAGCAATTGCTTATTTGTTGTAGCTAAACTCGATTGCGTAGATAAGTGCAACACACTGAGAAGATTGTACATATGTGGCTCCTTCCTCAGTAATGCGTCGCTTCCGTTACCACGCCGACATTCAGTAATGACCAAATTGGGCTTGGGTTCTGAGCTCGCCTGATCCAAGCAGGCTACTCAATTTTCCTTTTTTCCTGTCTTAATCTCGTCCTGATATGATCCGTGTGCTGTATTGTTGACGAGTGGGCGTCTGGTCTCGCAGTGCCGCGAAGTCGTGCTTTTTACGGCTTATTGTCCCATTGTGGCGGGATGTGTTGGATGAATTGCGCAGTGAGCTACGCGCCAGATGTGTCCAAATGCGCCGGCACCGCCCCTGGTCGCATTTGTCGGGCTGCATCAGACATTGACACAGACTTGAAGGAACCTGACTAAAGTGGGTGTGACTGTAAAAGATATGGTGGCTTACGTCATCCACCTTTGTAGCATATAGCCATGCAGCCATTGCCATTTAGTACAGTTTGACAGCCATTTTGCGTCATGTCGTACGAAGGAGCACCACGTCATATATCCATTGGACTTTTCCATCTTCATTCATCTCATATTGTATAAACAGATCGGCGAAGCCCTGCACATGTATGATATCTCTTTGTAATATCCTGTAACTCAAATCTCATGTTTTGTTCGCGTCATTCCGGGAAATCTTGTTATATAAGGCTGTGTGCAGCCATATTTGCTTCACCAGTCGCCTATTCATTTAGACTAAAGTTTCTTCATCTCCGGCCGGCTGGCCCGGATCGAAGGCGGTCTGTTTGGCGGACCATGACTGTGACACTGGCCGGCGGCCGGGCGGTGATCGGTCTATCCTCTGTTTGGGTATGGCCAAAGTACAGTCAGTCTCAAGTACCGTGCATCGGTGCGGTGGATCCATCAAGCCCGACCGAGGAATGGCTGGTAACTTTGAGTCACCGAACCAACTTGCATCCTCCTCATTCATCCCCGAGGTCAGTTGGTTCGGCGACTCTTTAAGTTTAGCAGCCCTTCCTCAGCGGGGCTTGATGGATCCGCCGCACCGATGCGCGGTTCTGTCAAAGACTGACTGTGCACTGTGCAGATGTTGGTCGGCGTGTCGACAGCGCGCCTCTGTCCACTGCACACGTACCGCCGCGCTGAGCGCCGCCGGAAAACATGTTTGTGGCGCTGTGAGATGAGCTGCTGTCTCGACCATCACACCCTGAGCACGGACATCTGCTCTCGGTTGTAGGGTCGGAATGGGCCCGTCCGTCTGCAGGGAGGAAATTGGCCGCCAAGACGGCGACTTGTTGAATAGTGGTCATAACGTGGACAGGCTCAAAAGATGTTTTTACCGTTCAGTGCGTGTTTGCCTCTTCTTTTGTGATGTGCATGCAGGATGATGTAGGCTTTCGTACTTCTTTGCTTTTTAGTTGTTTGCACATCTATTTTATGAAGGAAAAGGCAAAATATTATTTGGCGGTGAATTACCTTTTTTGCGTTGATGACGTGCATTGACGGCACCCGTGGCTGTTCAAACCTGTCTTCATTCCCCGCACCGGCCCGTTACTCTACATTTTCGTTCCGAGTTCTGAACACAGACGGGGTCTGGCTCTGGACCTCAGCTCGGTGTACCATGGTGCGCAACTGAGCAACCGATGGGTGTAATGAACTGGCTCCTGAGGGGCGCCGATACACAGTGATGCAAATGGGGTTCACGAGTGGCCATAAATACCCAAAAGTCAAGTTTACCAAATCCAGTTAATTGCGATATGGCCGAGTAGACAAATGTTTGGGGCATCTGAAACCACATGGTTTTCATGTTTTTGTCAAAACCGGCCTCGTGTATCATCGTCAGAAGTCGTGACATTTTCTAGGTCGTAAAATGACGGTCAGACACTCGCAATTTCAAACGCCGCTGGTTTGCGTTCATTTCGTACAAATTGAAAAAATTATGCATGAGAATGATCCCCAAAGCCTTCTGCTTCTAATGCCGGGTCACAAAAAGCCGTATCTCATTCGCTTTGGCGGTAATCTGACTATTTATCATCGTGTTGCAATCGCAGTTTTTTACTAAGAAAAAAATGCTTTCGTTTCACCTACAGCACTTAACACAGTGCGTGCCCGTTAGTCCACCATACCATAGCCTTCCTTAATCATTTCTGAGTCGCATCGTGAAAGAATTAAGGCGCTATCACAGGGCTGACCGGCGCTACAGAGGTTTTTGTCCGGGCGGTCGGGTGCCGCAGTGGGCGGGTGAGTGCCGCCGCGCGGCGTCCGGGCGGCGCGGCGGCGCGGCCGCCCGGGCCGCCCGCTGCGCCGGGAATACGATTCAACCCTCATTCGACTTTTTTGCGCTCGAATTCGACTTTGCGCAAAATAAAACGACAGCGCTTAAAAGCGACAGTTGCCGCAAATTGCACACTCAAACTGCGCTGAAATACGACATTTCTTTCATGTCGCAAAATCTTCAAAGTTATGCATTCTAGGAAGCTCGCTGCAATGAAAAGAGGTAAATTTAGCCCCCCGGAATATGTGATAGTATCAGGACACTGTTTGATTCCGCCACAAATGAGAAAAACGCGATGCAGAACGATGCGGTGAAACTGCGCTCATTCGCGACAAATCGTGGGTAAATTGCGCCTGTATTCAACAGTCCTGTTGGAGCCTGAGTGGTCGAGCACTTTCCGTTTTTCTGTTCTCATTCGTTTATTTCGTAACCAATCTTTAAAAAATGATGCTCATTTGAAAGAGATTTTCTCGCTCGTCATTTCTGATGCATAATGCATACATTTGGTACATCACACTCACAACCATATGTACTTGAATTTTCAGATGAAGGATTTTGCCGCGAAGACGGAGTGGATGTCGTATACCTTACCTAGATGTTGAGCTGGAATTCGGTGAACAAGTTTTTTTAAAATAATGACCTGAAGGTGACCCAAACACTTTTAATTGATAGGTGTGTTTGCAAAACGCATTCCGACAGCTTTTTTTTGCTTTTAACACTGTATTTTTCTCGAAATACCTGTTTGAATAATTTTCCCGAGTCGACTTCAGGCGCAATTATCAGACACTTAGCCTAAAAACGACACTACCGAGTCAGATAAAAGCGCACTGCGCCATTTTACGACACTCTGCAGTATGATCCGAGCGCATATGCGCCCTTTCCAGACACTTTTATGTTTGATTTGGGCGCATTGCACTTACACTTGACGGCACAATTTACTTGACAGAGGCGGCTTCAGCCACTGGTTTTGTGGATTTAATGCCTTTTATGCTATACTTTAGCATGTTTAGGTGTTAACGATCAGTTTTGTTGTATTTACTCTATGCACATACTTACCTGTTGCTTGCGCGGGACCCCTCTTCATTAGGCCTGTTATGCGTAAAGTATTAGCGGAGGGGATTTCCTTCGCACTGGTGTATGTGCTGCCAAATGTGTCCGTGTGGCGCTCAGCTGGTCGGTGTTGGCCGAGATATGAATGCATAGGTGTATGCAAGGCGGACGGCTCCAGTGGCGGTCGCAGGGGGGGGGGGGGGCATCAGGGCCATGCCCCCCCAAAAGGCAAATCAGGGGGGCATCATATCATTTGCCCCCCCCCCCCAAAAAAAAACGATGGGCCCCCATGGCCGTATGGGGCCCTGGCCCGTATTCGATTGTCACGAGGCTCGAGAAACCCACGCCAGCTATTAACAGCTCCTATACCAGTCTTTGAGGGTCCTACACTGACCTCTGAGAGCCCTTCAGTGGCGGTCAAGCGTCCACATTGACCGCTGAGGACCCACATTGACCTCTGAGGGCCCTCCACTGGCCTTTAAGGGCCCCTAAACCGGCCTCAGGGGCCCATCCGGCGTCTGATAGCCTCACGCCGGCCTCTGGTGGCCTCATTTCTGTCTCTCTAGTCCCAAGACTAGCCTTTAAGTGCCTCTGAGGGCCCCGCACTGGATTCTGAAGACCCGATGTCGGCCTCTAAGAGCCCGCATCGGCCTCTGGGGGCCCATTTTGGCCTTTGAGGGCCCTCCGCTGGTCTCTGGGGTCCCACGCCGGCCCATGCCGGCCTTTAAGGGCCCCACACTGACCTCTAAGGGCCCCATGCTGGCCTGTAAGGACCCACATTAG